CATATCCAATAAGAATGTCTAAAGGTACATAAGTACATTTGGCTAAATGAAATTACAGTCCTTTCCACAATGAGGAACCATGATTGCACAGGTTTCCCAGTTGTGGGGAAGACAATCAGTATGTTCACACCTTAGTGTACAGAATAAGCAATTAATTACTTTAACACAAATTATTTATTGATTTAAAATATTTTTACCCCACCTTTCTCCTTGAAAAGGAACCAAAGCAGCTTATAACATTGAAAGACAATGTTTAAAATTGAAAACAGTATGCTTCTTGTTGTTTAGTCATTCTTATGAGATGGCCAGAGTATTGGAGCCTCAGCTTTAGGATCTATCCTTCCAGTGAGCACTCAGGGTTGATTTCCTTCATGGATAGGTTTGTTCTCCTTGCAGTCCAGGGGACTCTCAAGAGTCTCCTCCAGCACCACAATTCAAAGACATCAATTCTTCGGTGGTCAGCCTTCTTTATGGTCCAGCTCTCACTTCCATACCTCGCTACTGGAAAAAAACATAGCTTTGACTATGTGGACTTTTGTTGGTAAGGTGATGTCTCTGCTTTTTAAGATGCTGTCTAGGTTTGACATTGCTTTCCTCCCAAGAAGCAGGCATCTTTTAATTTCAGGGCTGCTGTTCCCATCTGCAGTGATCATGGAGCCCAAGAAAATAAAATCTCCATATCCTCCCCTTCTATTTGCCAGGAGGTGAAGGGACCAGTGGCCATGATCTTTTTTTTTTTTTTTTGATGTTGAGCATTTTTGCACTCTCCTCTTTTACCCTCATTACAAGGTTCTTTAATTTAATTCTGCCATCAGAGTGGTATCTTCTGCATATCTGAGGTTGTTGATATTTCTTCTGGCAATCTTAAATCCTGATTGGGATTCCTCCAGTCCAGCCTTCCGCATGATGTATTCTGCATATACGTTAAATAAGCAGAGGGACAATGTACAGCCTTGTACTCCTTTCCCAATTTTGAACCAATCAGTTGTTCCATATCCTGTCCCACATATAGATTGCTTCCTGTCCCACGTATAGATTTCTCAGGAGATAGATAAGGTGGTCAGGCACTCCCATTTCTTTAAGGACTTGCCATAGTTTGCTGTGGTAGACACAGTCAAAGGCTTTTGCGTGGTCAATGAAACAGAAGTAGATGTTCTGGAACTTTCTGGCTTTCTCCATAATCCAATGTATGTTAGCAATTTGGTCTCTAGTTCCTCTGCCCCTTCGAAGTCCAGCTTGTACTTCTGAGAGTTCTCGGTCCACATACTGCTGAAGCCTACCTTGTAGGATTTTGAGCATAACCTTGCTAGCGTGTGAAATGAGTGCAGTTGTACGATAGTTGGAGCATTCTTTGGCACGGCCCTTCTTTTGGATTGAGATGTAGACTGATCTTTTCCAATCCTCTGGCCACTGCTGAGTTTTCCAAACTGACTGGTATATTGAGTGTAGCACCTTAGGTGTGGTGAGGCACTCCCATTTCTTTAAGGACTTGCCATAGTTTGCTGGTGCACAGAGACCTAAGTATTAATTGCTGAAGTGAGGGCAAATACTTTTTGTATATCATTCAGGACTCTGTCTCAAACTCAAAGCCTGGAATAAAATTTCCTCACATTGTCTTTTTGCATTCAATGGATGTCCTTCCCTCATGGTAGAGACAGTTTCCATTGGATCTTCATGACACTGGAAGGAACCATGCCCATAAAATGTTAATTCTAGGGCCTTAAAAATTTGCCTGTCCAGAACTTAGAAAAATTCTCTCCTTTTGGGGATTATACTTCCCAGAATTCCCAGGACAACATGCTAACTGTGGAATTCTGAGATTTAAAATCCAAAAGAGGAACTTTCCCAAGTGGTATGTTTGTTTCTTTCATCTGAAGAACGCTTCAGCTTGAAGTTACTGTAAGCAATGAACAATATTTGTAACATTTTAAAAAACAAATTACGACAAACTTTGCATTATCGCTTTCCTCTGAAAATCCAAACTCATTGGAAACAAAACTGGGATTAAAATACAAAACTAGCAGGGTGTGTTTTCCGTGGTCACATGGCCAGTGTGATTTAGACACGGAAACAAAACTGGGATTAAAATACAAGACTAGCAGGGTATATAAGAGTCACTTGAGAACAATCTTTTAAAACTAAAATCTCTTCAATATTATAATGTCATTAAGTCCTTAATATTCAGAAGCCTTCCATAACTAAAGGAAATAACCCAGAATGCTATTGACAGCTGGTTGGAATGGCCACTATGTCATCTGAATGCTGGATTAAATGGGCCTTTGATCCAGCATCACTCTTCTTATATTCTTAACTTGTTTTGCCAACATTATGATGAACTCTTCCTGATAGCATCTTAAGGAGTTACAATGAAGGAATGGCTGTATTGCATCTTCCCATTATCCTTTTAGGGGACAAATAAGTGAAAAGCAGTATCAATCAGAGAGAGAGAGAGAGAGAGAAGAAAAAAGCTCCTAATTTTTTTCCCTAACTCTTTCATCTTGGGCTATTTGTGTTCTCTCTCTCTCTCTTTTGCCATTGCTTCTTTGGACCTTCTGGCAGCTCTTCCTCTTCTCCCACATGCCTTTGAGACCACTTCCTTCCCTGTGTTCCACTGCAATTGGTGCAACGCGCCAAGAGTAGTCCCTTGATGAGTCACACAATCTTTGTCTCAAATTCAGAACTCCCTTCTCCTGAATGCCTGCCAAGGCCTTGGTGGACTTTCTGAAGGCAATAAAGCTTTCCAAAAAAAATAAAACAAGTATTTGGTAGCTAAGAATAAGCAGCTAATTATTTTCAGAATACTTTTTGGATATATGAATACACTTTTATTGTCTTACATATGTTAACTACAGTATTGTGACACTACAAGCCAGAGGAATATGTTTGGCTTAAATATTTCTAGGGAACAATTGCAGCAGTCATTTGCAAGAAAAACCACACACACACACACACACATCCTGTGGTCCATTAAAGACAAGCACAGTTTATTTAGCATAAATATCTGTGGACTACAGTCCATTATATCCACATATATAGAGTTCTTCTTCTGTTGGAAGATCATCATACACCTGCTGGTGGTGGGTTTGGGTGAAAGACTGTAATAAGTGGGGTAGGAACAAACTGAAATGCAAAACCAACCAACCAACCATATCTTGCCTATTCATGCTACAGTACATAGAGCTGAACCTATTGATGAATCATTTTTTGGGGTCAACATGAAGTGATTAGATTCTTCCAGCACAAAACAAGTAACTGAGAATTCCCAATGTGCAATAAGTGAAGAATTCATCAACAAGTTCAATTCTACCTTTTATGACTTGAATGGGAACAAAGACTTTTAGTCACATCGGCACTTCAGAACATTTGCATTACTACTTGACTATTATTTAATTACCAACAGTGCCCGTTACCACTGTACTTCTTTCATCTAAATTCTCTCTGACTCCACTGATTACATTTACCGGTAGTCTTATTATTTATAAATCTGACTACCCATTTGCCCACCAGCTCTGCAAAAGTGATGTCATGAGCTGCAGTTTATGAAAGTTTATGTCAAATAAAATGCAATAGTCTTCAAGATGCAGCAAGACTTTTATTTTTAACTTAGTAATGGAATTCTCATATTATTCCAACTCCAAGCCTTACTGAACTTTGTCTCTGACCATCTGCTTGGACCACTCCCCACTTGTTCTTTTCTTTTACTCTTATTCACCCACTCGGTTTCAGCTTCACATCAACTTCCAAATAAAAGAATGAAGAACAGGACATAATATGAAGGAGTTGACCCCACCCCTGCCCCCAGTCACATAGCCATACAAAATGCTCTTGAAAAATTATGCTGGAAAATCTAGGAGAGATCACTCTATCTAGGTTAAGAGATTTAAACATGTAAATTATTTAACAAGAGTAAGAAAGTATATGTAAAAAAATGTAACCACCATATCTTTATGAGAATTTTAACTGTGGTGATGGGGCTTTTTTTAAGAGAAAAGTGTAAAGAAACAATATTTTTGACATTTATGCTACGCACATGGATGAAAATTGAGGGCGGGGGTTAGGGATAATAATCTGGAATAATAGGAGGACAATATCTATTGTGTCTTTCATTCAATTCCATTTCCTTTATCTGTCCTCATCTTTCAGACATTTGCAGCCTTATGTTATTGTTAAACAGTTTTGGACCTTACCCATGCTGGCATTTATTTCTGGGAGGATGAGAAAAAGTGATTCAGGCATTTCCTATTGGCTCTGAATCTAGAAGCACCTGCTTAAATCATGATTGGCTAGCTGGCTGTGTTCTGCTCTAAAGAGTACTCTGATCTGCACCTTCATGGAACTAATAGATTTACAATGAGAAGTATCAAACTAAGTGGCAAAAATGTAGCTTCTTAAGATATAATAATAGAAATAGGCCTAATGAGGCTTATATAGCCTTGGAATTTCTGGGAAAAAGAGTAGGAAGGAAGCTTTGGGGAAAAAAACTTGTAGCTGTAGCTCTGGAAAAGTCTTCCAGAAGATTCTGTGAAAACTCATACACAGATCAGCTCTTGTGGTTGTTGCAAACATCTTGGAGACACTTTGCATAGGCAGCAAATTGCACAGAATAATATAATGGCACTTTTAACTCTGTATTCCCAGAATTTTCTCTGTACACAGAAGCCATTGTATGCAATTCAGCCTCATACACAATCATATATGTGGTTAGAACTCATCTGTACAAGTTTGTAGTTCTAGCCAGGCTTGTGTTTTGAGAAATGAAAACTCATCATTGCCTTTTCATCATGGAAACTATTGCCATGACCTGCACACTAGATAATGACTTAGTCCATATGAAGTTACAATCATGGGACTGAGTTCATCTGTCAACCTCATGAATACAATGTCTGACCTTATATGAGGGCTTTCCCATTTGTTCACATGTGCCTTATGTTTGACCCACCTAGAACAATGAAGAGTTCTAAGCTATTCACATTCTGGAGTATTCACATTCACATGGTATGGAAATCAGCTGTGTTGTGTGTACAATTATCACATATACAGCAGTGATGCAAGATGGCCTCCATGCCATTAGCAGGTACTGTAAATGTGCAGCAACCCCCAACAAGCATGGTCCTCAGTCTACTATCTCCTCCCCAAATGAACATGTTCTAGAGCCATAAGCACTATTTCTTGTGAAGTTCAAAAGATACAGAATCTTGAGGCGGGGCTTTGTTGCAGTGCTGCCAGTAGCTCCAGAGAAGAGCTCTCTGGAAAAACTGGAACCTGTCCGGTCTGGGATCCCCTTTTTGAAGTGGGGATCGAAGGAGAGTCTAGGAGAATTCTCTCTGAAGCAGATGGTGAGCAGCAGAGGGAGAAGAATGGGAGACAAACCCGGACTTCTTCCCTCTGAAGAAAGCACCCAGCACGGATCGGAGACAGGGAGCCATATTTGGCACTGAGCCGTGAGTAACCCTTTACCAGGGGAGAAGAGAACAACCAATATAAGCTTAAAATATATAACAACTAAGTAAGCTGAAGCCTTTGATTTATGAAACAGCCCCATTAACCTGAAAATAAGAATGAAAATATTTGGCTGAAAGAAGAAAAGCAGTGGCGATCCTATCTTATCAGTCTGCCTCAAAAGCAAAACTAACTGACTAACTTTTAATACAGCAGACTGGTTTCAAAGGCGAGAGAGTGAGATGGAAAAATAAATCTTGTGTTTCTGGAAAAGAATCCCAGACGGTAATACCATAGGACAGGATTCAAGAGACTTGAGTTTTGTGGATGCAGTTTGGCTTGGACATATTTCTCTTTTTTCTTTCATGGACTCTGTGAACTTTTGATAATAGAATCTGGTGGTTTTCTGGAGAAGAAAGAAGAAGCTGATGTGGTCAACTGGACTGAGGAATATCAATGGGTTAATAGAAAGATCATAAGACAGGCTTCAAGGACAACTACTGGGCAGTCTGAAAGTCTGTGATTGTTGTTTTGGTTTGTTGGACTGTGTGTGAGTCTGATAATAGTAGCTTGCTAAACTCGGGAGAAGAATTTGAATTTGCTGGGTTAAAAGTTGATTTTTATATTAT